GAAAAAAAAAAAGTAGGAACCAAACATAAAAGGTCTAGTAAAGCCAAAAATTAATTTCATATTGATTTAAAGTGATCTAGGTGAGTTTTTACACTGAAAGCAAAGATATAGCAATTGTAGACCATGGTATTTATTTTCAGTCAAACCAAAGTTACATATAATTCTGCCTCTGCTTATACGGGATATTAACACTAACAATACACTCCCTTTGGAAGACTTGCACAGGCCAAATTGTTGGAATGCTGGTTTTCTTGACAACTCCAAACCCAAAAATATGATAATGCGTTATGGTGTAGTTGAAAATAGCATAGTCAGATGTTTGCTTAAAACCTAGAAACTTTACGTGTTGCTTTTCATGTGCTGTGCCAAGTCTTGATAATACTTTTTCCCCCAACCAAGGGACCTCATAACCTGATAATGGTTATTGCTTTACAAACAGTTTTTGACAGAAGGTGGCTGCTAGAGCTTAACATACATACCAGTTCCATGTGATGGTCCTGGTTCTTGCAAACTAAGCTCATCGTTTATTCTTTGCTGAAGTCAGCAAATAGACTTAAAGATATACACAGTCATCTATCACGCCAAATAAAAGGACATAACGGCTTTCGAAAGGGTTTTCCCACTTACCCAAAAGGCTTTCTGAAAGCTTCTACCTCTGCGAAAGAAAAAAAAAAGAAAAAAAAAAGAAAAACAAAAGAAATTAGAACAATTATGGCAGATTGCATGAATTGTGAGAACGTCACAGTAACTGCTACTTTTCATTATGTTTGTCTTTGGGTCATGATCAACAGAAGGTTTACGGTAATTACATTGAGAGAAGGATTCACCTTGTAAGCGATTGTTTTCAGTCAATCAGTCGTCTAAGGTTTTGATGTGGGCATTACCTGAAAGGGAATGATGGGTGTTTTGAGTGCATGTTCAAGAGACTTTGATGGACTGGAAGTAAATGTGGTAACTGTACCATCAGGAAGGTGGCCTAAGACTACAATGCTAAAGTATGCATACCTCAGTTACAAAACTTTGAAAGGAAGTCTCAGCCACAGAATGCATATACCTGTAGAGTTTTGCATGGGTTTTATATAAATACAATTTAAAAAAAAAAAATAGCTGCTTGCACATTATACCAGAAAAACCTCCAAAACTGCAATTGCTTTGAAAATAGATTTTAGGTTTTTTGGAGTTTTCTGAGATGCTTGGTCTGTATTTTGATAATTGTGCATATTATGTAAAAATGTTGGTGGACCCATAAATGACCAGACTTTTTCTAAGAAAAATGTTGCTTTAATGCATTTCATGAATTTTTACTCTTATATCATTGCTTGCTAGTAATAGCAAATCTGCTTTTCTGCATCTGCTTTGCGTAGCTATTGTAAGGCTTTGAACTAATGTATGTATTTATTGCTTGAACTTCTGTGCATACCTTATAAAGCATAATGTCTGACAATTTAAATGGCTCATGTATTCTTGCTTCTATCATAAGCTGAGGACGGGGATTATGATCTTTTGTATACAGCAAATTTTAACTGTAGCACAAACATCTGTTTATGTATTGGTGGGATATTCCTGTTTTATTTATCTTTTTTGAGGTAAACTAATTTTTTATACTTTTCATTACTGTGTACTGTGTTCATACCTTGAATTCTCTGACGTTAGAAGTCATGGTTGAGAATTGTAACAGCTGTTATTCGTTCTGTATTCATGGCTTTCACTGCTGAATAAAATAAAGGACCAAACCTAGGATTTGAAAGAAAACTGTCTACCTCTAACACCAGGGAGTTATCAGATTTTATTTTACATAGTTTTAGTCTACAAAGTCACAATTGCTTAAACCTAGTGGGCTTAAGGCTTATATTCCATGTGGTTGAATTCATGGCACAGTCGTACTGTTTGAAAATCAATTAAAGTTTCATGTGAATGTTACAAGTATTTGGTAGAATTACCACTAACTGGGTTTTCTTTAGATAAAGCAGATATGGGGAAACTGTCATCAGCATTCTGTGTCTACAGCTGATTAACTTCATAAGAATGCATTTCTTTGTGATTAGGGAATCCAAGCACAGTCAGCTAGGATCAGAGCTGCTGAACTGCACTTAGTATAAACCAGCCTGGACTCAAAAGGCCTGGGTCCCCCATAGTCTGGTTTACCAATTTCCTCAAATTGGGCATTCACTTTTTGGAAAAATTATTATGATTTTGACTGCACACACTAATATTAATGTGCATTCTGGAAGGGTAGCTTTATGATTGCTCTACAGCTATTATCATTTTGCCCTTATTATTTCAAAAGTTCAGATCACTATGGAAGGGTTTAGTCCGTTAAATTTGGCATATTTAGCAAGAAAGGTTGTACGTTTTACTACAGAATTGATGTATGAACAGTGTTTTCACTGCTGATGGATGTAAAAATGTATATAAACCCATTTCATTCACTTGCTTACGTTTCTGGAGTATAAATAAAAAATATAATTCTTTTTGATCCATTTATACCCCACAGGGTTTTATTCTTTCTGGGAAGAACTTTCTTCCACCATAAAGAGCTCAGTTAATGAAAGTATTTCTGTAGCTTGCTGTAGCTCTCTTAGGTAGGGCTTGGGATGCATGAAGCATACCTAGTTTTATCCAAAAAAAAAAGCAAAAGAAACAAGCCGTCAATGACAACAGCACATTTCATCATGTATGTTATTTTGCAAAGGACAGCGCGTTACTAAACAGATTAACCTTTCATGCAGCCACACCCTGCTTTACTGGGTGGAGAGAATTTGTTAATCTCCTTTTCGAACAGTGATATTTAATGGAAAAGTTTATTCTTAAGAAACATAATTGCTGGTAAGGCTCTTTTTTGTTGTTTATATTGAGGGTTTTTTTTGATGATTGGTTTTGAAAGGCAATAGGTGGAAATACCATTATTCAGCTGTGTCTTGTGACTCACCCACTCAAAAATTATGCACGTATCCCCTTGCACGTGTCTCCACTACTCACTGGCTCATTCAAGGTGTTGGATGCTAGAGTCAAGCAGCACGTAACAGACTTCTGTGTTGTGGCTCTGGCTTGCCTCAAGAACTTGTTTCATTTCATGGAAGTGGTGGTGGATGTGGGTTCTTTCAATATCCTGAACAGCATTTGAAGTTCTTCCCGGAGAGGGTGGTGAGGCACTGGCACAGGTTGCTCAGAGAAGCTGTGGATGCCCCATCCCTGGAAGTGTTCAAGGCCAGGCTGGATGAGGCTTTGAGCAACCTGGTCTAGTGGAAGGTGTCCCTGCCCATGGCAGGGGGGTTGGAACCAGATGGTCTTTATGCTCCCTTCCAACCCAAACCATGCTGTTATTTTATGATTTGTTACTAAGCTCTTAAGATAGAATGATCAGAAGATCTAATTGTAGCATCATAGACCCATAGAATGGTTTGGGTTGGAAGGGACCTAAAAGACCATCTGGTTCCAACCCCCCTGCCATGGGCAGGGACACCTTCCACTAGACCAGGTTGCTCAGAATGCTTTAATATCTCATACCTAAGTTCAGAACAGCACTTGTGTATTGACTTAAAAGGAAAAAACCCCATACTTGCTATGTAACTTCCCCCTAAATAAATCAGGGGAAAAAAAATCAAAAATATACATTATATATAGCTCAATGCAATTATAGCAGTTGTAAGTCTATGCTAGATTTTTTTCTTCAATACTTCTACAAAGCAGAAAAATAATGACATATCCTAACTATGATGCTTACTTGTTAAGAAGCTGAATGATGCTGATATTTGAGCAAATGGAGGCCATGTCTAAGTATGTGGAAGATATTTGATCCTAATGAATGTATCTGGGTGTAAGTACATTTGTGCCATTAAAAAACAACCAAAATAATGTATATTAAGAAAATACATATATATTTTTGAGAGACCAGATGGTACATTACAGACCTGCACTTGCTGACAGCCACTAACAAGCCCTTGGGAAGAAAGTGAAAACTTCGACCAGTCTGACTGTGTTTGAACAACCTGTTGAGAATCATTGTGCAATATGCAGACAGAGGACACGGCGTTACGGACCTGTTGCTCAAATCCTGTCAATCTTCAGTTGCACCTCCAGCCCTGTCGAGCCAGTCCTGAGGAAGAAGCTGCTGTAGAGGTTTTTTCTCACTGTAGCGGAGTACATTTCTCTGTGACTGTTCTTCGATTTGTATTCACCTAACAATTTATATAATGGAAAAGCAGTATTTTTACTGCATTCTGGGCCTTTCTTAGTCTTCCTCTGGGCAGCAGAGCCTGGCCTGAGATTTATTACAGAAGTATAATGTTTGTGGAGCAGAAAAGTCAAAGGGAATCAATGGAGAATTGGCCACGCGTCCCATGAAAAGTAAAGTATAAATGATACTCAGGGGACTTACTTGAGCTCCTAAATCCTTTCACAATTAAAGAAAAAGACCCCAAAACCAACAGCTACCCTCCTTCAAACTTATTTTTACATACAATTAAGTATCCATAAATAACAATAATATTGTGAGCTTAGATGAATGTCAGGCGATTTCAGCTACTGTCTCTCTACACAAGTCGCTTATGAGAAATTTTGCCTAGGTGTCCCCTAGCAGATTTTCAAAAGTAATTCACAACGTACTTCGTAAAAGATAGATTTTAACTTTAAATACATATCTGAGAAATGATGGAATACAAAATTATTAATGTATCAATGTCAAATCTCTGAGAATCAAGAGAAGCTAAAACTCATCCATTAAAATTCAAGAAAACAAACAAAAATATTAAAGGGCTCTAGTTACAGGAAGGACTGTACGCGTTAGTAGGATATTGCTGAAAACCTTTCCACTATTTCTTCTCCTAAACGGTGTAAAGGCTGGGACAGCAAATCGCGAGGCAGACAATCTTACTACTATTACTATAAATTAAGATACTATATTGCATATACCATTCCTGGGGGGTTGGAACTATGTGATCTTGAAGGTCCCTTCCAACCCAAATGATTCTATGATAGTTGAAGCAATTGAAGACTGAATC